TGTTTGGCCTGCCAAAGAACTCGGCAGGCAACACGGGTGTTGTGGTCTTTGTGGACCACTTGAGTATGATAACTCATCTTGCGGTAGCGCCGGACACCATTGACGGTCTGGGTACAACGACGCTGTTTGTCGATCGCGTCCTTCGACAACATGAGCTCCCGGAGTCAATTGTCTCTAATAGAAACGCGCTTCACTTGGAATTTTGGTATAGACTCTTCAATATGCTGGGCACCAAGTTGAACATGTCAACAGCGGACCATCCGCACACCGATGGTCAGACTGAGACCTTTAATCGCGTCGTTGAAGATGTTCTTTGCTGCGTCTGCACTGAGACACCGGAGCGCTAGAGCGCCATCCTGCCACTTGTAGAGTTTACTTTGAACGTTGCAGTGCATTCCCCTATCGGCTACACACAGTTCTACATGAACGGGCTTGTTAATCCTCGCGTCCCGCTGACGCAGCCATCCCGTGGCTCAAGGCTTGGTGGGGGTAAATAGCTGAGCGACTAGCTGTTGTCAGCACCCTCATCGTGCGTAAAGAAGTCAAGTACTCCCCGTCTACTAGACTGAGTGTCTTACGACACGTTCGCGATGCGATGGCTGAAAACAAAGACGTGCAGAAAGAATATGGAGACGGAAGAAGCAGAAGAAATGTGGAAAAATTTGTGGTCGGAGACCTGCTTTATTAAATGCCGAAGACCTTCCTACACTTGCCGTCTCTGTTGTATTCAGAACAAAGCTCCTCTCACGCTTAATCGGATAAGGTCGTGGCCAAGCGATGCCTTACGTATATGCAAAGCCTTACCGAGAAGGATGCGCACCCACCCGGTGTCTTATGTGGGCTTGCTTAAGCCGTTCCAGGATCCGGTTTAAGTGAACACGGAAGCGTTGGCACCGGGGTGGCGCATAAAGGCGCTTGCCCACCCAGAAGCTGAGCCAGTAACTGGTTCTGAGCACGGAGTGCGGCAATTTCTGTTTCCAACGTCGCAAGGCGCTCCGTCGTCACACTAAGGTGACGTATTCGCCTGCTCAACGGCTAGGATTTGCTCCGACAGAGCACGATAATCTTCAACGCGAGGCAGTCGGTGCACAAAGTGCTCAAAGCTCTCGAGGTTTTCCGCACAGTGGTATGCAACCTTGGAGAGACGCTCGGCAGATGCCGATGACAACGGCCTTTATCCTCTAACGCTCGAAGAGCATCGCGAGTCGATCGACCAAGTTGTCATCGTCCGCCGCCGACTCTTTTTAATGATAATGGTGGCGTCCACTACCACGTGGAACGTCTTGTGAGTATATGTTGTCGCCAGGGTCAGACCCAGTTTTCTGTGAATGGCAGGGATACCCCGACTTAGAGAACTCGTGGACTAGCGATGCTCTTCAAGCTATTAAGGACGAGGTCCGTCGCAATCGAGTTTCCGCTGAGCGTCATGCTGGGGTCCCATACAGCTGCTCGGAAGATCTAGAGAGCTTGGAGCACGTTGTACATCAGCTGCCTCAAGTTAAGGACTTTGTCGCTCTGTCAGAGCGGCTCCTAGCCATCGAGCAGACGAATGCGTCGCTTCATGCGAAGGTGGAGCTCTTGGTGCCGTCGGAGATGGAGATTGTTGCACTCCGTGCTTGAAACCAGTTGCTTATCCAGCTTCTGGGTGGTTGAGCGCATGTAGGTGCCGTTCCGGGGCCAACTCTCTCGCGTTCACTTGCGCCAGATCCCGGTACGGCTTCAGCAAGCCCACATAGAACACCGGGTGGATGCGCATCCGTTTCGGAAGGTTTAACGTATACGCCGCATGACCTCTCATTGCGAACAACCTTAAAAATTCCAATATACCGTGGACGGAGCTTTGTCTTAACGACAACAGTCATTACACGAGAAGAAAAGTTCTTAGCATTTAATATAACCAGGTCTCCCACCTCAAAGTTTTTTTTACATTTCCTTAACCTCTTCCGACTGCATATTTCTTCTGCATGTCTTGGCTTTCAGCCATCGCATCGCAACTGTGTCTTAAGAAACTCATTCTGGTTGTCAGAAAGTCATCGTCTTTTTTAGGAACAGTGAGAAGGCTGACATCAGCTGTCCGCTCGACCCCACGAAGCCCTGAGCCATGGGATGGTGGCTTCAGAGGGACGCGACGATGATCGAGCTCGTTCACGTAGAACGGCGTGTGGTCGGTATACGAATGCACTGTGTTGTTTTGAGCAAAACTACACGTAGCAGCATGAAGCTCCAGCGCATTGGCCTCTCAGCGCAGACGCTGCGAAGGACGTCCTCGACAACGCACTCCCCGCGCTCAGTCTGACCATCAATCTGCTGATGGTCTGCTGTTGACATGACGATCGTGGACCAAAACTCCAAGTGAAGCGTGGGTCTGTCAGAAACAATCGATTCTGGGAGTCCATGTTGTCGAAAGACACGATACACGAACAGCGTTGCTGTACCGAAACCCGCGATGTTTTCCGGCACCGCCGCAAGATGATCCATCTTTCTCAAAGGGTCGACAAAGACCACCACACTCGTGTTGCCCACCGAGTCCATTAACAGGTCCAACATAAACTCCAAACTCGTGGACTACCAACACCCCAAAGGTACCGGCCAAACGGCCAGCAGAGCCGCCGCATTCGTTGAAAAACCCACGCTTTGACACGTCTCACACGTGCGCACAAAGGTGCTCGTCCATTTGTACAGCGTGGGCCACCAATAGTGGCAGCTCACAGAGTTGTACGTCTTCTCACGACCGAGATGACATGTCCTGGACCTCATAGAGGATACGGTACTTCAAATTCTCATCGTGAGAAACCACAATTAGTGGCGTATCCGTCGAGTCGGTGCTATAATACAGCAATCCATTACTTAATGAATATCGGTGTGACCGCGCATGCAGTCGTGACGACGTCATCTTATCCTAGCTTCCAAGCTACTAGCTCCCGAGAGCCTGTAGCAGCGCTACACACTTACCATCACTCGCGTACGCGGCGGAGATCAAATCCGACACAGACGACGTCACCGTCGTGCATAAGCTTGTCTGCGTGACAACGCATCAGCCAAATCATTCTGCTTTTCTCGCGTATACTTCACCTCAAACTTATATTCTCTGAAGAATGAAAGCCATCTGGCCATTCTCTGCAAGAGGTGAGGCGACTGGGTCGCAGTGCGTAAGGACGCATGATCTGTGTAGATCACAAACGGCCAACCATCTGCACCCTGAACTTGACCAGTGCGTACTTAATCGCAAGTAATTCCTTGTCGTGAACTGGGCACTTCTTGTTTGCAGTCTTGAGCTGGCGAAATTCGAAAGCGACCACCTGATCTCGCCCATCAGCGTCTGCTTGCAGTAGTGCACAGAGGATGGCACCGTCCGAAGCGTCACAGATGACACCGAATGGACGATAAGAGTTTGGCAACACCAGTATCGATGCATGAAGGAGGCGATCTTTGACATCGTCAAAAGCCCCCTAATCTTCGGTTTTTCAGCACCATTCCTTATCCTTCTTTAAGACATTCGACGATGACTATGCCATTTCTGCGTAGCTTTTGCTGTATTCGTGCAAGTAGTTGGCGAGGCCAAGCCACTTGCGTAAGCCCACTTTGCTCTTTGAAATCGACCAGCTCACAATGACCTTGATCTAAGCTGAATCCGCTCTAAGGCCACGCTTTCCGATGAAACGCCCAAAATAGGGACTTCTCCGACGCCGAAGATGCTCTAATTGGCATTAGCACACAGCTTATTCGCTCGAGTACCGCTCTTGAATGAACGCTGTGGTTCTATTTGTCTGTCTTTTCGTGCCCCGCACGACTATGGATGAATATGTCGTCGAAGTATGTACATAAATACGCCCAATGGTGCCTGAAAAACTGCGTCACCAGACGATCAAATATTGCTGGTGCATTTGACAGCTCCTGGGGCATTATCAACCACTCTTGAAGCATCCCGCTCAAAGTAATCACTTCTGTCAGCAGAATATTTTCGTTCTTATGAGCAATTGGTAATAACCATCAACCAAGTCGAGTGCGCTGTACTTTATACAGCCAACGATTTCTGGAGAACATCCTTTCTGGAAATGGCGTCTGTGACGGAATGGTGGCAGCATTTGGCTTATTATAAGCGTGAACGATACGCTACTTGCCGTTCGGCTTCCGGAGACAAAACGTGGGTGTCGAATAGGGAGACTTGCTCTCATCACCATTTCCGCGTCGCACTTCGCACAAAAAAGGCGTTTATTACGTCACACTGCTCTTTGAGCAGGGGTCATTGGTGTGTTACGCAGTACCAAGTCAGTCTCATGACGCACACCTCGGACCGGGGGTAGGACTGACGGCGGGTCTTTGGAGACGATGTCTTGGAATTTTTCTACCAAAGAATAATACGGATCCGAAGGAACCTTCGCGATCGACGATTCACTAGGTGCGCTCATCACCGTCTTAGTTTCCTCCAGGACAGCTTCATCTAGAAGCGACGACGAGTTAATCTCCTCGTTCGAATTTATAATGACCACCTCGGCTAAATTGCCTGCCTTCAAGGTACCGCTAAATTCTTCGAAGGACATCTCGTCCAGCTCAAGAAGAGTATAGCCTCGACGTTGGCGTCGCCGTCTTTCTCTCTCATCATATCATTGACAAGGGTATGTTGCTGTGCGCTATCATCTACGGTGGACACACCCTAGTTCGGGGTCGACGCCCTTGGTCTTGCAGATATCATATCTCTTCTCTATAGAGAGTTACGTTTCATCAAGATTAGTGGAACACGCACTCGGCGTCGTCAAGTATTCTCTCTCCCTGGTCCACGGAACCTTCCTGTTATTAAGAACATACAACGAAGTGTTGCTATCTTCGCAAACTTCGTCCAGTAGATAACGTGCCTCTCCAAGCAAATCAAAAGGGCGTTGCCCAGGATGTCTCGACCTCTCGTTCGACAAGGCCATTCTTGTCACGCAACACTGCTCAGTGGTTTACGCGCCATTTCACGTGCATCACAAGAGTTTAAACCATGATGCCTCGGTCCTTGGCCGACCATGTCACTCTTGGCATGCAGCAACTGCTTCAATGATTGAGCAGTGCTCAGTGGGTTACGTGCCACCCCACGTTCAGCCCGCGATTTGACCAACACACCTTCGGTGTTTGACAACTCGGATTCTCCGAGATCTCGCCTGCGCTTTAGCATCTTCTTGCTAATCATTGACGAGTAAAGACAATTCAAACCTGGAAATTTATGATTTTTTTCGACGTTACCTTCTTTGTTGTAGGTCACAACATTTTCAAACTCGCTTGTAAAGTCTTGTTCTCCAACACTTCCTTCATCAATACGACTTGTACCTTGGCGAGGGGCACACAGATAAATTGACGAAAAATCCTGCTTGGTGGTCATTTTCTCTTCTTTTGCGATGGGCCTTTGCCTCTAGTCCCACTATTCTCCATATTCCATAAACCATGTTTCCAGGTCGATGGCAAAGAAGACAGTCTTTTTCTGGCGTCTGACTGCTCCACCTCCGGTTGGTGTCGTTACTTTCATCTTTTTGGGTTTGCTCTGTGAACATGAAGTGAGGCATCGTACACCACAACATCTTTCAGACATCTGTGACATCTTCAAAAGATGCATATGCCCATGCTATTTCGTCCGTCAGGTAGCTCGAATTAGAGCTGCACGACTTGTTGACGACGATATACATATTCATTCAGTCAATGTCAGGTTGGTAACGCTTCATTCATGGCAAATTTAGAATGAAATTAAATTATCGTCGAGGTTGAAAAGGATCAACTCGTCTCCACCTCGGTAATCGTCAAGCTTCATTGCCAAGCAAATGACTTGCATGACATCTTCATACCTACATCTATTCGCTAAACGAACGATCATTTTATTTCTTCACATTGGGCAGGCTAACATCATACCCAGTCATAACTTGCACTCGCACAAAGTTGTTTGATTCATCAGTGGCAGCTAAAACACAGTGTTTTTTCAAAACCATCTAAAAAGACATCTCGAGCAATCAAAGTCGCACGTTGCCTGTTTCAGATTGGGCAGGCTAACAACATACCCAGTCATAACTTGCACTCGAACAAAGTTATTTGACTCAACAGTGTCAGCCAAAGCTCGTAGTGGCTTCTCAGAACCATCCACAAAGACTTCTTGGACAATTAAAGTCGCACTATACCTGAGCCTCCTATAAATCTTATAATGGAAATTGCATGTGCATCATGCACGTTAGGACCAGAGATTCGTGCACCACCAGCACCCACAATACTTTTCTTGGTCTTTGAAATCCCCGTCCTACTGGTCGCTTCCGGTCTTTTATCCTTGAAAGCGTTTGAACTGACGACCATTTTGGTGTCCGCGGTTTTCCGAACGAGCAACCTGTGTCTGTTGCCGACTCGGCAGAGACACTCTGCAGTTCCGGCAAACTGGCCCGGCTTCTCATAATGATTTACCATTCATTACAAGGCCTCTCATTTTCAAGCGTGGAAATGTAGAGATGTCTTCTGGCTCTGGACCGTCTCTTGTATTAGTAGACTGAGCGCTTGACTTTGTACAAAGTCATTGAACTTGGCTTGCTTGATGGAGCTCATCTTGCATACTCAGCTGATGGTAATATCTAGCGTCTTGGGAACAGCTTATTCTGAAACAGCCCGTTATTCAACCCACCATGAACGTTAAAACATGCGTTGATACGTCGATTGGCTCGTCAACAATGCTCGGTACGAAGTAGCGAGCACGCTGTGCATACGAATGGAGGTCATGAAGACCTCGAAAAAAGCTTCAAGAACGTGGCACAGACGCGGAACTCACTCAGTCGTGTTTCTGACACCTTCTTTTGTTTGACTTTGAAGTAGTCGTAGCAGAGAAAGCAGTTTAGATCGGCTGAATATTTATCGTACACCCAACGTTCAAACGACCTGCAAGGTTAGACATCGAAAGCAGCTCTTGCCGCAAGGGATCTCGCAGTTGGCTTGCAGTGATTGCTGCGTCCAAAGCGGAAAAGTATCGTGATAGACTCGTTCTCTAAACCATGGAATCACGCCACAACCGAAATCATATAAAGCATACGCTTATCATTTTGCGAAATAAAAAAAAAATATTGTCGTAACAGACTTACTGATCGCCGACTTGAAACAAGCTATGTGTAGCCGAAATTGTTATAATTTCTGCGCAAAAAAAGTCCAGTCAGTACATTTAAAAGGACTTGTGATTACCTTATAACCAGTCGCAAGATTCTTTATGTTTGGCATATTTCCCACCGACTACACGAAAGGAAAAACACAATTTTACGGCACGAACACCTAACCCAGAAGTGCAAAAAAAGCTCAAAATTTTGGTTGCTGACTGAGATCTGTAATTCGCATTATGTATTGCATTTTGCAGCGTCCTTCATCGATGAGCGAGACTAGACACCCACTGCTAAAAGTTGTTATCGAGTTAAGCGCAGAGACTTTCGTTCCGACAGTATAATCAGTATTAAGTAATGGTTTAAAAACAGAGACTAGCTCATTTCGAGGTCCAAACCGCGTCACTATGATAGAACTCATCTAGCAGTAACTGAATTTCATAAAGTCAGCAGTCGCTGCCTTACCCGCTCCCAACTATTTTGTTGAAACGTTTCATGGGGAAAGTTTATAGGTGTGGTAACGATCTTACCGCAGGTTCACCTACGGAAACCTTATTTCGATTTTACCTTCCGCTAAATGGCGGGGTTTAAAAAAGGTCCCATCATTTGACTCGCAATGAAGCAAGCAAAACCACGATCTTAATTTTTCACCGAGTCATTCAATAGGTAGGTGCGACTGGCATTGTGTACAAATGACATGCAAGCTGATGACTTGCACTCACTGCAAGACAAAAATTGCAACAGTCTATTCCTAGCACGATGCGCATTCACAAGATTACCTAGACCCATCGATCAATTTTATATGCTCGTTAAATTCATCAGTGGAGCACGCGAGCGGTCTAAGGGCATCACAGACCTGTTATTACCTCCAATTTTCTTTGGTCTAATTGCTCAAAATCTTCCTTTTTAATATAAGTCCGCAAACTACCAAAAATGGTAAGGGGGACTATTTAGCACGCGGAGGTCTCGGTCGTTAGCAACTTAATCAGACGTATCACTCCATCAACTAGGAACGGCCATCCACCACCTCTCACAGAATCAAGAAAATCTTTCAATCTGTCAAACCTTGCTATGTTTGGACCCTCATAAGTTTTCTCGTGTTGAATCGTATAAAACAGCAAGCTTCACTCCCGGTGGTGCCCTTCCGTCAATTTCTTTACGTTTCAGCCATGTGACCATACTCCAACCGGAACTTAAAGACTTTATTTCTCAAACGGTGCTGACAAGGTCATTTTAAGTAAACGACTGCCAATCCCGAGTCGGCATAGTTT